AAGTTTTGATGTGTTCCAGTTCTCCTAAACTCTGCCGACAGATGCTAAAATCAGAGCTGACATTCAACCTACGTGCTGCATAATCTAATAGCAGGACTTGTGCTACTCATAACTAACAAACTCTGGGAGCTTTTCTGCAGCAAAACCTTGCTGTCATTTATATTCTCATCTGTCTTTTCCAGGCAGCCTAACTGGGAAATATGTGGGGTTTTTTTTGTCTGAAAAGCTTTAAAAATAACATGTCATTGTGTTTTTGTATCAACAGGGGAGAGCCAAGCCATAACTTGCTTGTCCAGCACTTGTGGATTTAGTGAGAGTGTGAACAAGGTGAATCCAATTGTCTCAGTGGGGAGCTTGGTGTATACATTGATCCCAGAGTGCCAGGAGAAAGCTGCTTCCAAAGACCACAGTCTTGGAGTTAGACAAGGCCAAAATGTCACACATTTGTCAATGTTTCTTATTAACCCAGGAGAAACCATGGGGGACTTTTCCAGTGCTTGACATATGCTCAAGTTTAAAGCATTATTTTAAAATCTAAACTCGAGCAAATCTCTTCAAGCACTCTGTGGTGAGACTTCTCCTGTTGATTTATGTCCCCTCACACCAGCTCTAAGTAGAAGTTGCACCAATCCAAATATCTATGTAACAGTGCCACGGGAGCTGAGCTTCTTTGCAGCATTCAGTTTCAGCCGAATTCAAACCGTGATGATTCAATAAGCTATTCACTGAAAATGAGAAAACACCACTATGAAAGCCACAATTATCACACCATCACCCTGCTAAAACTCAAAAATAATGATGGATTTCAACCCTCTTATCACTTAACACCCTGAAGCTCTGGCATTACAAATAGATATCAGAGCTTCTTTTCTAAGACACAGAAACAGAACTTCTCTAATTTTGCATTTTAAACCATGAAATTTTTTAACTCCTTAAAGCAAAAAAACCCACAGATTGCAGCTTACTAACCCCTCAGATCTTACACAAATTAAAATGGGAAGAGAAGGAGCTGTTCTATGAATCATATTTTCAGTTTCTGGCAGCACTCTTAGCCTACAGAAGAAGGGTTACACATTGAAATTCTCACGTTCTCACTGTCAGTTTCTTGGGATTATTATATGTGAGATACACCAGCTTAAAATCAGGAAGTTTCTCTTCTTTCATACCTTTATCTTCCTCAGCAAATGAGTAAGAAAACCAAAGCACTTGTGTAAGAGCATTGTATAGGTGCTTCCTAATTTTGAGGTTGATTTTAGCAGTGATTGTATCTCGCCCATGAAAGCTTTGTCTTTATAGATGACATATGCTCTGTTGTGGGGAAACACAGGATCCCACTGAAAGCAAAACCTCCTTCCAAACTTTGTTCTGCCAGATGCAGCCTCCCCTAGCATTGGATTCCAGCTTTGGTTTTCTTCACAGCAATTTCTGGCTTTTGAAAATCTCCTTACTCAACAATTTGTGCTTGTGGGGAAAATATAGAAACCACACAATATTTTTTTCACTTGTGCTTTTTTTACCTCTGAGCTCTGTTTTTATCTATATCCATATACTCTGAAACGTGGCTAACCCTATAATTATTGAACAAATAGAGTCATATCACACAGTCCTGCATAGCACATTAGTTGTTGATTATTTTTGGCCTGAGAAATGAAGAATAATAACCACCAACTTGGGAAAAAAATTAGCTAAGTAAACATTAACCAAATAAATATTTGAACCAAAGACAATGATGTTGGTTTAGTAGTAAGAACAGATATATTATTGTGTAAATAGACACACATCTCTGTGCTGAGTGTTGTTCTATCACTTATGGGATTGTCTTGCAAATCTCTTAACTGAATGCAACTGGTGATCTTATTTTATCTCAACATTGTCACTTTCAAACTTAAAAATAAACATTGAAAGCAAGAATAGATCTTTTATGTTAAAACTGTGTAGGAGAAGCTACACATGAAAAATATCAGTGCAATGTTATTGGAATGTACAGACTTTCATGAAAGCTTAGGTAAAACTCAGCAAGTCTCTGGGGACATTTCCAGGAATGAGTGATTCTTTTCTGGAGGAGACTCCAAAGTCAGATCCAGTTACCTAACTGAAGTGGTTTTTCAACTAATTATGCACTGGTGTCATGCTCATGCTAATGTTCAGCCTTATGCAAAATGCAGAATGCCAGTCTTGCTCACAGTCAGCAAAGCTTGCTTTGATTTTAATGAGTTCTGGATCTGCCTTAGGTATTTAAACAGTTACTTTGAGGTTCAGTTTCTGTTCTTACTGAAATCAATGGAAATTCTTTCACTGACATCAGATGCACTAAGCAGAGAGTTTAGGTTAGAGCAGACTAAGAAACTGCATAAGGATTTAAGAAAGAATTATTCTAATTAGACTTCAGTGAGTAAACTTACATAATGCAGTATAACAGATCCCTGAGCAGAGCAACTTGAGCTAGTAAGATACTTAGAGGATTCATATTTCTCAGCTTTATTTTGCAAACACATGACAAAGATCCCACGTAAGGAGAACAGGAAGGTAACTCTACAGAAGTGCCCTGCTCAGAGATTTCTTTCTATAGTCTGGTCCTTTACACTTAATGCAAGTAATGCCCAATAGCTCTCACTACACAGTTCTTTTGCCTTGATCACTAAGCCCTGAGCTGGAGAGGTGAGCCAGTGTGGTATTTGCTGTCCAGAACCTCAGATGAGTGAACTAAGTGGTAGAAAGAGCAGTAGAAGCCAGGTGCCTGGATTTTCAGTGTCCAGACTGCACAGGGCCCTCAGAGACATCCTCCCATCCTTCCTTTCACCTGTCCCTTCTGTTCAGGAATCTCAACCAAGGGTCTTCTCTGCACTTCCTAGGAAAACACTGTCTGAGGATGGAGGAGTCTCCCTCAGACTCTGCTCTTTGTCATAAACAGAAATAATTTTGTGTATTTTTCACAGCACAGTTGCCTTTGTTTTCCCATATGGTCTCTTAAGCCAGAACCTTTTCTTCTGAAACTGCTCCAAGACCCGTGGGGTTGAAAGATGCCTTTCTGAAAGAGAGCTGCAAAGATGCAGCTTGTGCTGCTCCGCGAGTCTGTCTGCACAGCTGGGGCTCAGAACCACGTCCCTGGAGCAGGAGGCTACTTGTGAGGTTGTCCCTTGCCAGAGCAGGTGCTGCAGCCTCCCTAGGAGAATCTCCTGCTCCAGTGAAAATCACCTCTAAGCCCTTCCTGCCGCCAAACTCTGCTCGATGCTCTCCGTGCACCACACGCGGGACAGGAACGAGTTGCGGTGACAAAGGGGATGCCCGACTGCCTCTGCCAGCACCTCCCTGGGCAGCTCAGCACCGGACCGCCAGCCCTTCAGGCACCCCTGCAAGGCGCTCGCTCCTTCGGAAAAGGCTTCTGTCCCCGCTCCCAATCGCACAGCTCGGGGGC